CCTATTCATGACAACTGTAGGGGGGGTGGACATTTATATGACTCACCAGTTTCAATTTTATGAAGTCTTAAAGTTATGTAGAATTAAGGGCTCTGAACAACAAGCTGTCTGCCCATAGTGTCCTTGGGCTCTCAGTCAGATCCACCCCCCGCTCTTCCACAACTCCACCCTCTCGTCCAAATATGCTCACTTCTGGCTCCCAAATATCCAAGATGGCGATGGTTAAATTGCCAACCTTGGCTTTAAAACCAAGCCTCCAGAAACAGTGCCAAGCTTTGAATTCAGTGTTACAAAAACTGGTGTCCAAAACTGGAATTACAACGACCGCGTCCGTCACGTGATGCCATGGTGCCTGAAAATTGAGTACAGCGTACAGTTCGGGCAGACCATGATATCAGGCTCAGGGCACCCTATTTAAACTGCTCTGGCCTGTCTACTGTTGTTGCTTCCTCTGCAAGCCGCTTTGCAACCTGCCTCCACCCCAGCTCCTCCTTTTCGTGTTGTGTCTGACTTCTCAATGTCATTTCTGTTTGTCATTGATGCTGCTCTGTTCTGTTCCTGGGAGGTCTTTGCTGCTGCTCCCTGCCCTTCCATGCGCCTACATGGAAAGCCTAAGGCAGGTGTGCTCTCTCCGCCTTAAGCTTGCAGTGTAGGCCTAGGAAAGGCAGAGAGGCCCCAGAACAGAGCCATACTGCCAAATATAATACTTCAACTGGAAATAAAGTTTTCTTTGACCAAAATGGTCCTGACTCAAAGACTTTCTCCCATAGACGTACATTGTGAAAGAGATTTCTGTAAATAAGTGGATACATTTTTTTGAGCGTTACAACTTGAAATGATTCTTTTCACTATTGCGATTTGATCCGTTTGGTCCAATAAGATTTTGAAAGTCTAGAAGAGCAGCTCAATTAAATAATTTCCCCCCCATTACAGTTAGCAGAGTGCTAGACCAGAAGTTAGCGGCTCTGCCATGCTTAGCAACACTTGGCCACTGTAAGTCTCTAGTGCACCTGCTCTACGGGCCCCACAATGCAGAAGACACAGGTAATTTCATACCATGGAAATTCAGCTTTTTTGGCTTCTTGACCTCAGAGCAACTTTCATATAAATGAATGGGGCCCCACCTCCAGCGCTGTATCCAGTTCTCTTTATACATCTGTGTTTAAAATGGGAGTCTACAAACATTAGGTGATGTTTGTATGCCAAACTGACACACAAAAGATTTAATAATAACAGAAGCTGCTCATTTCTGCTTAGTTTTAACTCTTAAAGGAAATTTCAGGGGGAATTTTTTCAGCCTGGCTCTTATTTTCATAACTGTGTCCATTTCAGTTATGAGTCATGCTAACTTAACACTTGTTACCTCCTTTGTAGAGACTTGAGAAATGATAACCCTGAAAAACAAGCATATCAGGGCAAGAAACAAAAAACACTATCCCAAAAAAAGTGAATCAGTTTTACATGACTAATTTGCAATACTTGTCTCTGAGTCTCTCTGAACGTAAACATAGAAAATAGCGACCAGAGTTAGCTATGGTAGCTAATGGGGCATGCTGAGTTGGTAATTGCCACATAGAGATATGGGAAGCTACAGCTATCCAAATAAGTAATTTACAATCCAAGTCAGACCAAAAGTAAACACAGAAAGTCGCCATCTTGATTGGTTATCGTAAGTAACTGAATAGGGATCTATTCCAGGGAGCCTTCCTGGAGTTTGTGCTTCCTAAATCTCTAAAGCAGACATGACTGCAAAATCACAGAGTGGCCACAATTATGAGTAAACAAAATCCCAGTTGAATACTTGAATAAATATAAAATTCTTCTTGTAAATTTTAACCCACACGTATTACTTTAAAATGCTAAAAAAAACAAGTCTAAAATGCCTGACTCCAAAAAGTTACCATGGCATACAGAGTGACTCTGCTTCTCCAGATGAAACAGAACACTATTGCTGGCCAACTTTGTGGTTTAGGCTGATAAGTCGGGTGGAGTATATTATCTTAATTCAGGCTTGAATCACCAAATCTCTGCCGCTGCACAGTGTGGGTGTGTAGCAAATGAGAGAAAAGCCCTTTCAAGAGAAGAAAAAGCCAGGTGAATGTGTAGTGATTACTCATGGTATGCAGTCACTCAGCACCAGCTTGCTGCGACATGATCACAAACTCTCCCGGTTAAGCTGCTCCTATCACCGAGGTAGTGCAAGTGAAGAGTCTACCTCATTTGCTCGGATGAAGCATCATATCAAATACTTCTCCTCTCTATCACTGCTACAATAAAAGCTAAATTCACCTAGATGGGTGTTGTAGCATCAGGAGTAGGTACACTGAGTCATGCATTAGTCAGTATGCTGACTCATGCTAATGCTCTCGCTTGCTTTTTCCGCTGTTTGGACTCTCATCATCTCTTAGAAAGACAAACACTTTCTCCCTTGAGCTACTGATAATACACATATTTTTCAGGTGCCTTAGGAATTTGTTTTTCATTTTGCTCCTTTGGCACTGTTGCTCTGTTTCCTGCACTCATTACATTGTCACATTAAAGGTCCAGTCTGTAGGATTTCAGGAGGATATATTGGCAAAAATGGTATATAATATTATTAACTATGTTTTCATCAGTTTATAATCACCTGAAACTAATAACTGTTCTGTTACTTTAGAATGAGCCCTTTACATCTACTTAAGGAGCGGGTCCCCATCCACAGTCTCGATCATGTTGTTTCTACGGTAAGCCAAAACAGACAAACCAAACTCTGGCTCTAGATAGAACCATTCATATCTTTCTGTGCCACCATAGTTTTCTTACATGCTTGGCACACAAGCGAGGTTTCAGTGGTTGTAATTTGTAACCTCATCACTGGCTGCCACCAAGTTCTACACACTGTGTGGTGGTAAACACACTTAAAAGAAATACTTTGATATTTTGGAAATATGGTTATTTACAAATGTACGGCTAGCAAGTGTGGCTAGCAGACAGTTAGCTTAGCAGACCGAATGGAAATGGGAAAAAATCTGGCTTGGCTTTGTCCAAAGGTAACCTATAGATCTTGCTTATTTAATCTGTACCGAAAATCGGGTGTTTAATGAGTGAGCGTTAGGGGTGTTTGGTAAATTAATTCTGTTACCTTGAGACAGAGCTAGGCTAGCCTTTTATCTGTTTGTAGTCTTTATGCTAAGTTATGCTTAGCTAAGCTAAGCTATAAAGACACTTAAAGAAATACTTTGAGATTTTGGAAAATATGCTTAAATGCTATCTTTCTGAGAGTTAGATAAGATTATTGATACTAGTTTCATGTGTGTACGCTAAATATTAAAGTTCAGCTAGCAGACGGTTAGCTTAGCCCAAAAACTGGAAACAGGTAAACTAAACTAAGTTCAGCTAAGCTAAGCTAAACTAAGCTAAGCTAAGCTAAGCTAAAGCTTTGAAGAAAATAAAGAAACACTTTTATATTTGGGGAAATATGGTTATTTGTACACTAAGCAGTCAAGTACAGGTAGCAGACGCTTAGCTTAGCACATAAATTGGAAACAGGAAAACATCTAGCTTGGCTTTGCCCAAAGTCTTGTTTGTTAAATTCATACAAAAACAAAAAATGCAGTGTATTAATTGATTAATTTAGTGTTAAAGGTGTTTGGTAGGTGGATTTTGTTACCTGTTGGCTGTTTCTCTGTTTTTAGTCTTCATGTTAAGCTAAGGTATAAAGAAACTTAAGAGCAGTTCAAATATTTCGGGAAATATGGTTGCTATCTTTCTTTGACATAGATATAAAGATTGATTGATTGATTATACAGCTATACAGCTGATTTAGTTAGGCTAGCTGTTTCTGTTTTTTGGTCTTTATGCTAAGCTAACTGCTTTTTTTCTGTAGCTTCATATTTAGGGTGCATTCAGGAATACAACGCTCCATTTCTTTGAACAACAGGGCTCTAATTTAGCGTCAGCTTGGATTTACAAGCGCACCCTTGTTGTACAGACATGAGAGTAGGCTACTATCAATATTCTCATCTAACTTGTGGAAAGAAATTGAACCAGCACAATTCTAAAAAATGTCTTATTCTGCTTTTGTTAAATCATTTTGGTTATGTTTTTACTGTATGGTTTCATGTGTATGTTAATAAACATACACTTGACCGCAATAATATATGTCTGACAAAAAAAAATAGAGGTTGTGAGGGGGATGAGCAAATGTGATTTATTGGGCCTAGATTATGTCAAAGATTTCCAGTCTTGGTTTTTCCATCTTTTCCAGAAAATTGATAACCCTGTACATCTGGGAAAGAACCTGTTTCCATCCTCCCTGATAAAAACCTTTCCACAGAGTGGAGTCAACATCCAGGGGTGAAAAGTGTAGGGGTGGCTGGGAGGGGAGTCTGCGGTATGATTGCGTCTCTGCTCCCTCATCACCAGCTCAGACAGGTCTCAACTGGCTGCTACCTCCACCTTGGCAAGCCTGTCGAGTCCAAACAGCTGACATCATCCCGCAGGAAGCCGGGAAGCCTTATTGCAAGGTGAGACTTGGGTTAGAAAAATATGCTTTGATCCAGACGGGGCCACGGGAAGGTCTTTCCAAAAAGCTTCCTAACACCTGAGTGGTGACGGCCCTGCAGACTTTCAAGTCAGTGATAGAAAGGCTTTGGTGAAGTCCAGGCTGCATGAGAAAACTGTGGATTAATGTGAGAAAATAATCCAAGACTGAGGATATAGAACGTGTAGGTATGAAGAAATAGACTATAGAGTATGATTCCCTGTGGTAAAACACTTGAATATGATCTTGTATCAAAATGGCTGAGATACAAAGATAAGACTTAAGGGAAAACAGTGACACACTATGTGGTCTTTATTAGATCAGTCTAGGAAAGGCACTCATTCTTCACACAGCAGTGAGCATCTTTATTTCATATGGCTACACTGCCATCGTGTGGCCATTTTATATCACTGCAACACAATCTAACTTCCACCTGTTTACTTAACTGCACAACAAAAATACGCATTTTGTTGACATGTTTATCTTAAATCCAACATAATTAACCTTTATTGAAACAACTTCAATTTAAAACCATACAACAAATAAAGACAACAAGTGGTAGTTTGATCACACCAGAGAAAAGCAACAATAACCAGCATACTGAGAGCATAAATGTCTCTTTTTAATCCATGGTCCACTGCTGGAAAACACTGTCTTGCCAGCTTTTGTTGATTCTAGGTGCAGCTGGTACATTAAGTGCGTGTAGTCGATGATCTAAAAATGGGCGGCTTCAGATGTGCATTAGTTCAGACTGATCTTCCGAATTCGCTCCCATTGTTCCCAGTTTTTACGTCAAAGCTCCCCGTGTGAGCTTGTGGTTGTCTCTGATGCTTCTGACTCCTCTTCTTTTTCTGATGAGAATGGAAACATGGATTAATGATACAAATGATAATATATTCACTTTTGATATTTATAAAACGATCGTGAAACTTAAAGGTCCCATTTTGTAAAAAAAAAAAAAAAAAGTCAGATTTCAATGTCTTTTTTTGTAATTAAAAAAGGTATTAGTGCTTTATAAATACTGTGAAAGTATCAAAACGCTCAATCCACCTTCAAAAATGGGGGCTTTTAATGAGCCATCAGAACTTCCATGAACTTGTGATGTCACAACTGTTCTATAGAAAGACAAAAACTGCCACTACAGTGCTGTTACAGTCATTCCAGTGCAGATGTGAACGTCCCCAAAACGAGCGTCTCAGATAGAAGGTGAATACAGGTAATACACACAAACAGTACAGCACAAATGATATGACGAGAGTCCTAAAAGCTACAATTGGTAACTTGAATAAAGGTACTTTTTGTCATATTTGCTATAGCTGTCACATCCTCACAGCTGGACATGACAAAAATGGTCTGTGAAAAAAATTCTGCTCCTTTTCCTCCTCGTAGGGCTTCTAATGGCGTTTGATGGAAACTGTGGCTGAACGAAAACAACCAATCAGAGCCGAGGAGTCTCTAAAGCAGCTGTCAATCACTCCTCGTAAACTGCCGTCTGTCTCACTAGGCAGCCCTGATCAAATAAGAATTAAGATTCTCCTCAGATGTTTTCAGAAACACATTTTGGTGCACTGTTTAGCTGTTAAATGAGAAAGTTTGCTGAGGACAGTGGGAGGTGCTTGGTCTTTGCTCGACAGTTTTTGCTACAGCTTTAAAGCAACACTAACCCTCAGCTGGCTGTTGCATTTGGACACACTCGCCATCTCGCTCCTCATAGCCACTTGAGCAGATGCACACATGGCTGCCTTTAGTGTTGACACACTCCTCGTGCTCCTTGGTGCACACTGGCTCTGGCTGGGAACACTCATCGACATCTGGAAAACACAATGTGACACTGATACACCGACCTGACTGAAACAGTTTTCTCTTCTGATGAGGTCGGACAGAAAGCTTTCATCACAAATAACACATAAACAGTGCAAGGCTAATGTTACTAAAGCATTTAAGACCTAAACGAACCTTCCTCTGACCTTAAGAGTGTAAACCCTTCATATAGTGAATGATTCACATCTTACCTGTGCAGGTGCCCTCTGTGTCTTGGTACCCGCTGGCACAAGCCTTGCAGTTATCAGGCCCGGCCCCAGTGCAGCCGGAGCACACGTTGTCACAGGCTAAGAAGGACAAATACATTAAAATAAAACTTATTAGATGAATGTCACTAAAAATATTCCCATGAAGAAAGAGAAAATTATTTTCCTGTTTGATGTAAACAGGCTGTAAATATGTGAAATCATCATGATGTGTTATCAAACACTTTATGGAATTGCTTCGTATACCAATGGTAAATAATTTCTCCCCAACCAAAGTAAAACAAGCAACAGATACTGTTGTGTCCTGATGTTGTGAGTACTTACCCTTGCAGGAGTAGGAGCCTTCGGAGTTAACGCAGTATTGATCTTCTTCACATGGAGACGGATCTTTGGAGCACTCGTTCACATCTGTAAGATGGACTGCAGTGAGGCCGACAGTGGTGCACATAGAACATATATTTTTGCCATTTTTTCCCCCCTGTGTACAACATGGAGACTTTTCACCGGTGCTCCTATGCCGACCTTGCGCCAAACTACTTTTCAGCAACTTGACTGTTGCAGACAGATATGAAAATATGAAAATTTCTAGTGCCGGGATCGTCACGAGAGTTTTACCTCAGTTGGTGCATGCCCCAGTGATCTTGTTAGCTTGGTGTAAGGTCTTATAACTCAGCCTGAGCTGTCTTAAGTCTGTTTCTTGTCTTGACATTTCAACAAAATCAAACATGTTCAATATTGTAGACACTTTTCAGTCTTGGCTCGTGTAAATAATGAAGTTCAATAACATGAACATAGTCAACAACCAATAGCTGCACTCTCTCCGCCACCAAACAAGAAGCAGCAAACCGCATAGACCGTAAACATGGAGGGGACTCTGGGGCGGCATAAACAAGTCTCTGATCTTTTCGGACTGTGGAGTAGGAGGAGAACTGGTGGAGTTGTGGAGTGAACAAGAGTTGGAGTTTAATTCATTGTGTATCTTATCCACCAACCAGCACTTATTTTAGTGAGAAATCTTAAGTTTGAAAATGGCTATCCTCCGACTAAAATAACACAGCTGACCAACAGAGGCTGGTAGCAAGTTGAGGCATTAAAATCCACATATGTAACGTTTGTACACAAATACAGTTTATCTTTATGGATTATATTGATGCCGAATTGACAAGAATACTGTCAAGATATGACGTCTTTTATCCTGTGCTTCTGGAGTCATGTTTTTTTGCATACACATGAGGAATAGTTACAATAGTACATTTCTTAAAGGGAGTTTGGTGTAATGTTTTCCACCAGGAGCAGGATGGGAAATAACCTCAAAAGGAATCTAGTTGTAGTCTTGCAAATAGTGACCCTGCAAGATCCCCAGTCCTTGCAAAATCTATTTATAGGGTGTGACTAAAACCTCACAGTCTCAAGATATGACAGGGTGTCAGAGTTTACTGTTTTAAAAGTACTTTTAAAGTCTTTTCAAAGTCTACTCATGCATGGGAAGCATTACCAACACAAGCTTCCTGGTCGTCCTCCTCCCAGCCCTCTTTGCACTCGTCACAGTCCTGATTGCCCGCTCCAGTGCAGGTTTTACAGGAGGAGTGGCATTCTGCAGGGAGAGGGGAAGCTTGCATTCAGAATTCAGAACACTTACCATATATATATATATATAGACATGTCACTGAAAAAGCTGGTGGTGCAACACTTTCTTTGTGTCGACGTGTACCTGTGCACAGAGAGAAGGTGTCGTTCCTCACTTCGTTGAAGTAGCCGTCGATGCAGTCTAGGCAGAACTCCCCCTTGTAGCCATGGTCACAGCTGCACTTTCCGTTCCCACCGCGAGTCCCATCGCCATCACAGTTTCCATTTCCGTGACAAGGAGTGTCAGAGCCCCCAACGCAGGCTTCAGAAATAAAATCAGAAAATAGTTGACCACTTTAACATCCATGCTACTGCCACACACTGAGATACATACATGTCTTGTCTGCCAGAAATAGAACCAACATGGACGCTAAATGCTGAAAGGATTTTCCTCACCATTGCAGTCCGGTCCAAACGTTCCCTTCGGACAGCACACTTTGATAGTTTCAATGCAGAACCAGTTATGCAGATCGGGGTGTTTCGTTTTCCTGCATTACAACAGGAAACAAAACAGGAAGAGGTGAGGTGTGAATCAGTCATTTTATACACAAATAACACTGCAAGTCTTTTCCTTTACACAAGCTGTGTGACGTCTTGATGTTGTGAAACTGATAGTTGCAATTGTCGCTGACCATGCTGGCATAACCTATACATAACCAGCACCCACCTCTTGAACCACCAAATCTCGAAATGATCTTCGTGCTCCTCTAACATGCGGTTGCACTCGAAGCTGCTGCTGTCGCACAGCCCTTCAATGATCTCCATCAGACGGATCTCGCTGTAAAGGAAGCGACAAGATGAATGGATGTCACATAAACTGTTTGATATGAGGAAGTGCTTGTTGCATGGTTTTGTGTAAAGCTGGGAAAGGAAACTGTTGCTTGTAGTGGCAAATTAACACCATGCAGTCTGCTATGTATTCAAATACATCCTGTTTGTCTAGAAGTTAAGATAAGCTTCCTGCTGTATAACTGCCTGCAGCTCTGGTGCAAAGCAAACACAGGTCTGATGACCGGCCCCTGTGGCAGGGTGACCTGGACAGGACAGGATGCACTGTCTCACCTTGTCTCATATTTGGACAGTTTTCTCTCCTCCCAGGCTGTGTTGCCTCCCCCAAAGTTCTGCTTTGCTGTTCTGTCATAGCCCTAAAATACAAAACAGTGTCACTGAATATACAGGAATCATTAACAATACTTGAGTAAGATATTAATATAATGTCACACCACACAAAGAGAGGTTTAGTAGTGTTTTCCTACCTTGCTGAAGTTATCAGTGATTTGCTGACAGGTAGAACAGGCGCTTTTTAAGTCCCTCTTGGCGCCAGTGGCTTGAAAAAGTAAAACAACAATTAAACAAGACAATAGCCGCAGCTCTGGACCGGTGGACAGCATCTCAGCCGATCAATTCAGACACAATTTCATATCAGGACACACGCTGAAGCCACACACAAGCTAGTGAAGCGCTGCACGGGTCGAACACATCTAAATGAGCCGTTCCTAACATTAAATCTAAGTCTGCGTTATCTATGCAAAGCGCAACAAAGTAGTATTTACATGCCGGCTGAAGAAAAAAACGCTGCGGGTTCGGATTTCCGCGTCAGCTTCTTGATCGAATTGTGGCTTGCGCTGATTGGCTCGGATGGCCTGTCAAACAAATGTACAACCAATCACAAGCCGCCACGCGCGGGACAAACAGCTGCTTCCCCACGTGGAAAATTCGGAAATATAATTATATTATGTAAAATAATTATTTTTTTCCCTTTTGGTGACGTGTTAGAGGTAATTTCTAAAAAATATCTTTGTCACATTACTATAAAAATATTTTTCAGCCAGATGAAAGCATGAATAGTTCGCTTCCTGTCTTGACCGGAAGTGATAAAGTCACTCAGCTGTCATGGCTGAAAAAAGGACTGTTTCAGGGCTGCCACTGCTGTTTTTACTCACAGCAGTGTGTCTTTTGCATTTATTTATTTGTCCATTCACTAAAGTTGAGGAAAGCTTTAATTTACAAGCAGCGCACGACATTTTGTATCACAGACTTAACTTTGACAAGGTAAGCAGGCGTTATCTGTCCTCCCATACTGTTCTATGTGCTAACAAGCTAACACCAGTCATTAAATAATTATCAGATATATTAAACGTCTGTGAATACGCCATCTTTAAATGTAAGAAAACACATTCACTGGCTTCAGCTTATATTTACATGTTTTTAATTCACTTATCCTCACTATTTACAACAGTATCTTATACCTTTTGCTTCATATTATCAAATGTGGCACTGTCCCTTCTAAGAAAACAGTGGGCAAAGCAGCTTTTATGTTTAAAGCCCCAACAGACTGCAATAATTTGCCTGTTGATATTAGATACTTTCAACACCTGGTATGTTTAAGCATGCCCTGTCTTCTTACTTTGAGATGGACTGCTCTTGTTATTAGTGAATATCATGTTTTTGTACTGTTTACAGAAGTATTATGTGGATAAATGAATGCTGTATTGTATCTGCTGAACTTTTAAATGTAATCTTACTGCTTTCATAAGAAGTATGCTTTATCTTTATCATATTAGATTAAATTAGGTACCTTTTATATTTGAAACAAAATGTTGTTTCAGCTTTACTTGTATAGCCAAGTCATAAAAATACGTTAAATTGCAGTGTGTGCTGATACATACATCTTGTATTTGTTCTCAAAAACATGTAAATATAGATCATAATTATGCACACAATACCAGTTCAATAATTGAGAAAACAGTTGTCAAAACAATCCCAGCACCAGTTCAATTTAGTAGCTGTTCTGAAAAGCTTTCAATCTTCATCCATAGATGGAGATAAAAAACTTTTTTTTTTTTAATACTTTTCACTGAGTTTAAACAGACAGAGCAACATACTATACATACCCAAGACAGCCATACAGCACATAAAAAATAATAAAAATAAGGACATAAATAAAAGAAATCAGACTTGATGTATTGACAGTATTTCAGTAAGATTAGATATTAAGAAAAAAATTAACAAAACGAAAAAACAAAAACACATACAATCAGATGAGTATAATGACTAATCAAATGGACACTGTCTCTAGTCCCTTCTGCGCAAGACAGTTTGGAGCCACCAGCCATTAGTAGCCATGTCATGTGTGACTCATAATCGGGGCTATGTGAGGAACATAGAAATTTCAACATCTACACGTCCTCCATCTGCTATTTAAAACCATGTGATGTGATTGAGATCTTCAGATTGACTCCTAAATAGATCTTGACATGAAAATATTTTGCCAACTGTTGTTTCCAAGGTCAGCAATGAATTCAAGTAAAAATAACATTTTCTGTTATAAGGTCTGACTTTATCTGTGTTGTCTTTCAGTATGACCATCATGAGTTCCCTGGTGTGGTGCCACGGACTTTCCTCGGCCCCCTGTTCCTCTCCATTCTCAGCTGCCCTGCTGTGTTTCTGTCGTCTCTGCTGGACACACCAAAATTCTACTCACAGCTGATAGGTAAATCGCTACTGTCTAACTAACTGGTACTTTTGCCCTCTACCTATATGTTCAAAACAATTAGAACTGCAATAGTTGATTATAGTTGATTCATCGATTAGCCCAGTGAATTCCAACCTTTGTCCTCAAAGAACTCGTTTTCTATCATTAAGTAAACTGACAACCCCTGAGTGACATATTTTATGGATATTTGATATTATAGTCAATGCATAACAATAACTGTACAAACAAACTGATAAACTGTACAATTAACTCAAATAGTGAACGTAATAATTGCAGAAGTTTGTGTAAAACAAGCTTTTAATTCAATCTGTCTAAATCATCTATCTTTAAAATGTTTAACAATCAGAAATACTTAATATGCTTCTTTTTTCCACAAATTCAGTGTCTTCTTTCTTTTTTCATGCCTCCTAAATGTGAGAATTTGATGCTTGTCATTGTCAAACATGATCATAAACTGATCAGCTGTGGATAGCTGGACTGTTGGCCGGATAAAGCATACCATTTGATGATGTCACCTTGGGTTATGGGAAATTATACAGGACATGTTTCACTATAAAACAGTTAATTGAGAAAATAGTGGGCATATGAATCGTTAATGAAAATAATTGTTAGTTGCAGCCCTATAAACGTTGTTGCCTGTTCAAACAATTTAAACAAATCCATTCTCTTGATGTGTTGTGTGCAGTCCGAGCCTCCCTGGGAGTGTGTGTTGTCAGTGCACTGTGGCACATGCAGAAGGAGGTGAGGAAGCAGTTTGGCTCCACGGTTGCAAGTCTTTTCTGTCTGACGTGTGCTTCTCAGTTTCACCTGATGTTCTACAGCACTAGGACGCTCCCTAATGTATTTGCACTGCCAATAGGTAAGACACATGGGTGATAATCATCATAAAACAGAGACTCTGTATTAAGCTTCACTCTACATGATGACATTATACATTGTCCTTCCCAGTTCTGGTTGCATTCACATCTTGGATGGCTCAGAAATACGGCCGATTCGTCAGCCTCTCTGCTTTGGTCATCATTGTGTTCCGGTCAGAGCTCTGCATTTTCTTGGGACTCATGTTACTGATATCACTGCTGAGCAGGAAGCTGGGACTGCTGCAGCTGCTGTACTATGCTGTTCCTGCTGGGATCTTGTCGCTCGGTGAGTAGTGAATGTACAGTGTATGATAAGTACATACTCGATAAACAAATTGTCCCAACGAGTTTTGATTTCCGTTGTGTTTCACAGCTCTGACAGTGGCCGTTGACACTTTCTTTTGGAGGAAGCTTTTGTGGCCTGAAGGTCAGGTTTTGTGGTACAACACTGTTCTCAACAAAAGTTCCAACTGGGGAATATCCTTTTGATTTACTCGAGTACTCTTCCACTTATGTGTATGAATTTTCCTTTACACTTTTGTTAACTGTTTGTCAATCTCCACCCTGCAGTTCTCCTTGACTCTCTTCTCCCCAGTAAACCTCTCCCTTTCTGTGGTACTTCTACTCTGCCGTGCCCCGCGCCCTGGGCTGCACGCTGCTCTTCGTCCCCCTCGGCCTCTTTGACAGGCGGATGAGGCTGCTGCTGCTACCCACCGTCGGCTTCATCCTCATATACTCGCTGCTGCCCCACAAGGAGCTGCGCTTCATCATATACACGTTCCCTGTGCTCAGCTTGGTGGCTGCCCGAGGCTGTTCTTTCATGTAAGTAAAAAAATATTAATCCAAATGCTCGGAAACTGACACTTTATCTGATGTTTGATAGATACCAATACAAACCAGACACTCTTATTGCTTTATAAGCTGAATATGACCCATGGAGTACAGAAATAATTTGAAAGATGAGAAAGTTACGATGCTTAAAGGGCAGTTTGGAGTGCACGACCAGCTGCTGCATTCTGTACATTAGACTTGGCTGGTGGATGTTGATTATTCCTCGCTCTTAAAATAGATATTGATACCAGTGCCATCATAAGAAGGACTTGCGTCAGTGTGGGTTTATGTCATGGCTGCTCTTTCACATTATAGACTGCAAAAGCTATTGCTCTTCTTTTCCTCTGTGCTTCAGTTTGTGCAACTACCAGAAATCTTGGATGTACAAACTGGGCTCTGCGGTTGTGGTTGGCCAGCTGCTGACCAATGCGGCTTACTCTGGTATTAGTCTCTACGTGTCCCACCACAACTACCCGGGCGGCCGAGGAATGCAGGAACTACACAGGCTGCTGCCAGTCACAGCAGGTCAGTGTCACTTCAGCACATTTTTATTTGCAGGGAGTTTAATGCTACCTTTGAGAGGAGCTAATAACTTTATACATATTGAAGATTTAATTGAAAGTATGGAGAAACTTGATCAAATATGCATGTAGTGTGTGAGTTTAGGGGTAAAAGACATAATAAAAAAACAAACGAGAACAAGATAAGTGTCCGAAAACAAGTAGGTAGAAGTAAAACTTACATGTCTATGTGTCTTTCTTACATTTTCTCTTTTAATTCATACATTATTTCAACAAATTCCCAAATTTATTTACAACTAATATCCCCAGTCTATTGACCACCCAATTAAATACATAAGTAATAAACCCAGTTTATTTACAGTCCAAGTATATCTCAGTTACAAAATAAATATGCACTCCCCTGACACAACCTTGCCTCATCTGTGTATCTGCCAAAAATACCTTTTTATTTTTTTAATTGATTTATAGTCCACCCCATACACTGAGATACACAGACTCTTCTCAGTTGTACGGACATTGTTTCTTAAAGTTAAATTCTCCTCTTAAATTATACCCCCTCCTCCCTGTCACAAAACATTTTTTGAATGTTGCCCAGGAGTGAATTGTTTCTCGCTTTTAACATGATTCTTGCAGTTTTAAATTTGACCAGATCTAAGAATTGAAATGCATGTGACTTTAAAAACAGTGTGTTCATGTGTTCCCCGTCCCTTTTGAAGTTTGTATAATGGTGTCGAGCAAGTACGTCAGCTAAACTGAATTTATGTGTGCATGTATGCGAGCCATATTAGTATGATTAACTCTATTAATTGTGTATAAGACAAAAGTGTGCATAAGAAGTTTGTTTGGAGAACACATTTTTACTCAGTGCCTTTGTTCCCTTAAGATGTCTTTGTGCATATTGACACCTACGCTGCTGAAACTGGAGTATCTCGCTTCCTAGAGCAGAACAGAAATTGGAAGTGAGTGCTTTTTTCATTGTTCTGAACTAAAATGTGTCCAAAAATAATGTACCCATTATAATCACCTTGTATTGTAATGCAAGGATAGAGATTCTAAATTAGTGATAAAATGAATGTATTTCATGTTAATGTTAGACATGTTTTGTGATTTTAATTTAACACCCGAAAACAATGTATAATCAAAACTTTTCCAAAGCATTCCATTACTTCCAAACCATTTCCATGCCTGGAAAACTGTTCTAATTCCATAAATTAGGTGGGATTTATCTAATATTACCTTTGTAATGCAATCCTTTTTACATATTTTAACAGATATGACAAACGTGAGGACCTGAGCCTCTCGCATCCTGACATCAAAATGTACTCGCACCTACTGATGGAGGCTAACGTCACAAAGATACAGCTGCTCCAGGACACTCATCAGCCTCTGGCCTTTGTGGAAGGTTACAGCAACATTGCCTTCAACATGTTTCACTTCCCACCTGTCAGTGTGCGATTAGAGAGGAAAACTGTGCTCATGGAGAGAAAGACTGCAACCAGGCAACACAAAGAGTGACTTTAACAGGAATGTGTTGGATTAAGGTGTTTCTTAGAGACCAGAAAATAAGACCAAAGGTGACCAAAATGAGTGTTCTTGAAGGCTATGGTGGGATAGATGGTACAAAGAGAATAACGCAGGTCTGTTGTGTGTCTACCATTACAGGTTGACTGCTGATGTATGCTGCGTAAGTAGATTAGTATGTTGAATTGAACATCTTTCCTGATGTTAAAAAGAGTTCCCACACATTTTTGTGGACAAAACTTTTCCAGGACCCATATTAACATTTTCATGACCATTCACATTGCTCCATCTCAAAAATGCAGTACAATTTCAAAGTAACTGCGAGACATAGCATAGATATAGAAACAAACTAAATTCAATGACTGTTTTAAAAACAAATTCTGTGACTTCCCCAGGCCTGGAAACAACATTATGAAATTCCATGTGTTTTCAATGACTGTGGGAATCCTGAATGTTTCTCTCCTCTCATGCTGATGTGTAATGAATTTCTCATGAATAATTATAGGAAGAAACTGTTTCCTGTAGACAAGGCAACTACAGACAATGTTGTATTTTTTACCTCAGGCTGTTATTTGTACATTTTGTAGATATATTTCATAGCTGAATAAAACTGTAACTGAAGGAGGAAACCAGTTTCCTAAATTGGACATTTGTTTCAAGCCCGCACATGACAGATCTCTGGTCTGTACATTAAAACATCTCTCTAATCACTAACTGAAGAAAAGCCGCTGCGATATTGCATAAGGAAAACCTTTATTTAAAAATGACCACAAAATTTGCATGGTTCCAGTCTCAATGCTAAAACATTTATCAAATTAGGTTCAGAAGTCATTTAATATAAAAATGTACAGTACATTGTTTTACTCAATAATAAACCCATAATTTAATCCCCTGGACATAAACTTAAATTGTGCTTAAGAGACAAATTGTATATTCCAAACAAACTGCTTATTCTGAAAATACAGCAATATTATACAAGATCTTATTAAAAACATTTCAGCAAGTAAAAAAAGAAAAGAAAACAAAAAACGGTCTATTTCTAAATGACAGTACCATGAGCCACAAATTCACAATGAAAATTAAATAACATTAACTTAAAACATCTTTCAGTCACAGCATTTATTTTTGGGCCATGTTTTCATTCGGAAAACAACTCTGCATCTATCTTTAATACATAATAATCCAAAAAAAAAAAAAAAAAGCATCCTGACGTGATTTGCGCAATTTAACAAAAAATATTTACAGCATTTTTGACCTGAAGTAGTTTTGGATAAGGCACAAGGAGAGAGTAGACACATAAAACAAAAAAACATTGATTTACAAGCACACACGTTATCACCAACCCCTACAGCTAGAAAAACCCTCCCTCCCTGATACACTTTTGACTGAGACTTTTCATCACAACAGCTCCAAAGTGTTTAACAGTAGTACACAGAATAAAATAAAACCTCCAAATCTGGCCTTTGCAGTGAGAATCAATCAGTGTATAAATCGTTATTTTACATTTTGCCCGACAGAAATCCCCCATTTCACAGCTATGCAACTTGGTCCTTGATAAAGGGTTTTCAAGTTAATGCTCAACAATAATCAGTACTGAAAGTAAATCAAAGGGAGGTTGACCTTGAGGAACAGCAGACCCTCCATGTTTTCCAGTAAAGGCCTGGGCTGATTCAGGGCACAGTTGACGCTAGCTGTGCTGAACAGTGTCTCTGCTGGGACGATGCTGGGAGGGCAGCCCACGTAACGGGCGGCTACTTTGGCAAGATCGGGCCACAGGAACTTTTTCAGGTTCCAATAGTCGAGGGGGTCACAGCTTTGATCAAGTATGTCTTCCTCAAGGTACTCCAGCACTGCCAGCTCTGAGGACTTTGGCTTCTCCTCGTGTTTTATCTTTTGTCGGATGTCAGCCATCAGGGACCAGAGGTTGTCCTTGTTTGAGTGGGAGGTGTTGGAGGAAACGGGGGCCTCATTGCAGCCGTTGGGCAGCGGAGGCTTAACTGCAACTGAGGTAGAAGAGGACAAATCCAGCTCCCGGATCAGATCTTGCTTACATCTCTCGGCTTCTTCTTCTGTGAACAACGAAGTCTTGTACCGTGGGTCCAGCATGGTTGCCCAGGTGTATCGTTGGTCGTGCAGAGTTGTGGACATTTTGCTCACCATGGCTTCCTTTAGTGACTTGAGCATATTGTCGATGCCCACGGTTTCGTCAAACAGCAGGTCTATCTTTCTGTTGAGAATGTGAATGAGTGGTATCACTTGTCCCAGAGTGGCAGTGCGGTTGCTCATCTCCCTGCAGGCGACTTCGAAAGGTTTCAGTGCATTGCAGACCGACAGCATTACCTCCCACTGATCGCAGCTTATCATTTCCCTGAAATTGCACTCGATCGACATCTCATCAATGGCTTTCTTCTGTTCCACCAGCCGCTCCAGCATGAAAAAGGAGGTCCTCCATTTGGAAGGAACATCCTGTATCAGTTGGTTCTCCGGCAGCTGGTGGACCCTCTGAAGCTCAGCCAGCTTCTCCTTGGCCTTTGCTGAGCGGTGCACACGTTCACAGATCTTTCGTGCAATACTCAGAAGGTTCTGAACCATTCTCTGGCTCTTTATGGCTTCGCTAACAATGAGGTCTATAGTGTGTCCAAAACACTGCATGGTGACATGGCCATGGTCCTCCAACGTGTTTCTGATGGTGTTGTTATCAGTTACAGTGAACCCCTTTTTCAGCCCTGATGAGGTGATCCAAGAATCCCACAGATACTCAAGCTGCTTTGGGATGTCATGCATATCGTGATCACAGTCTATTTGTGAGACACTTAGGAGAGCGGAGCAGTGAAAGTCCTGACCCTGGGGTCTGACACTTGACTCATAAGTCGCCCAGTGGGCAGTTAGGGTCAGGTATTCCCTTGTCTGGCTACTGACCCAAATACTAGTTGTGAAGTGGACGACACCACCTTCAGCCTCTTTCAGATGGGTCAGCACAACGTCCTTCACCCTTTCGTACATATCCGGTATGGCAGTGCTGGTAAAGTAAGAAGAAGGTGGCAGAGAATACTGAGGCTGGAGGTACTCTAGTAGTCTGTTCAGTCCAGCATTCTCCACCATAGCTGATGGCTGAAGATCCAGTGCGAGCATTTCTGCAATAAGTTTGGTTATTTTTTTGGCAACTGGGTGGTGTTCATCAAACCTCTCACGGTTCTGTTCCGTTTCATAAACAGAAGTGTCCATGAGCTCTTGTTTAACATGAATTTCAGCAGACGGCACATCACCTGAGATAGTATTGTTACTTTCAAGAACATGTCCGTGAAATCTCTGCATGTGCCTGAAGAGGCAGCTTGTGCCAAGGTTTGTAGTCTTTTTGCCTCTGCTAATTGTGCGGCCACAGTGCAAACAAACCACCTTTGTGGGGTCAGTGGGTGAAATGGAGAAATGGTTCCACAGTTTTGACGTCTTTTTACTGAAAACGGGCAGTGTTTGTGGCTTTTTCTCACTGGCAGGGCTCTCAGTTTCTTTGGTTGAAACTGCGTCCGTTGCGGTGAGACTGGTGTATGGATGAGGGGAGGATTCCTTCTCATCTGTGCTTTTTTGGTTTTTGAGGACGTCTGGGTGGCGTCTCATCAGATGCCTCATCAGACAACTTGTACCAAAGTCACCCCGTTTCCCCCGACTGATGACGCATGGACAGTAACGGCACAGTGCTTTTAACTGGTCAACTGGCGACACTATGAAATGGTGCCACACTTCAGATTTCACCCGTTTCATGATCCTCTTGTTTTGCTGGAAAACTGAGTGATCCTGATTGAGGCTGGGGCCCTCAGAGAGGTCGCATGGTGAGGAAGTTAGGGGTGTATCCTCCCCCTGAGTTTTGAAGGAGAGATTTAGAGAGGATTCTGGCCCTGATAGATGCATCACCTCATCAGATTCATCTTTTATATCCATGCTTTCCTCCATGCTTTGGGGTAAGTCATCTGATATGGTTTCTGGGGAGGATGGAAGAAGGGGTGATTCTTTTTTAACTTCCAGTGGATCCTGTAGTTGTGTGCGGGGCAGTAGAGAGGGCGGGTTTGTGTAGGGTGGGGGAATGTGATTGCCCTGTCCATTTTCCTCAATGACAACCTCTTTGTGGGCCCTCCACATGTGACGAATAAGACAGCTTGTCCCTAAATCCTTCCCATTTTTACCCCGACTGAATTCATTCATGCAATGGATACATACTGCTTTGGAATTGTCAGCAGGTGACAGGTAGAAGTGTTTCCATACAGCTGATCTCCGGCGGGAACTCGAGCCTTTTGGGGTCCCAGGGAGGCGCTCGGGCCCACCGTCTGACATGTCTTCAAGGTTGTTGTCATTGGAATGTGAGGATGAGAGCGTGCTGCTAACTGTGTCAGCGTTGGCATACAGTTCTAGTTTTGGTTCGACTTTGGGTAACACTTCTTTGGATGACAGATCTGAATTCTCAGCTGAGGAGGTGGACGGTGAAGTGTTCTTTGAGGCAGAAGAAATAACGTTATTTGTCAAGTCTCCGTTTTTTGGTGAGTTTGGGGATGGAGGTATCAGAGATGAGGCAAGGGAGCCAGCTAGATTATTCGAGGATGCGTCTGCTCCGTCTTGTAAAAGCACAGTGGGGTGAGCCCTTCGTACGTGCCTCATTAAGCAACTTGTACTGAGGTCTTTCTCATTCTTACCCCGGCTGAACTCTTTCATGCAGTATAAACAGATTGCTTTGGTACTGTCTCGTGGTGATATGCAGAAATGATTCCATGCAGGAGATTTTTTCCTCGGGTTGGTGTTACTCCTCATAGACGACAGAAGGCTCTGAGTGACAGCGTCCATGGCAACATCATAAAGGGTGCTTGTGTATCCACTTAGTATGTTACTGTACTCATCAACATCTCTAGTCACAAAAGGGCCAACTGAGCTACCAAATGTTAGCCTTTCATCATCCTGGGTTTCATCCTCCATTCCATTTGCATCCACAGTCTCCTCTTTGATATGTTCACTTTCTTCATTCCCATTTTCGTAGTTTTCATTCTCTGCATTTCCCTCAGTATCAGTGTTTAGGCATTTGTTTGAAAGAGCGGGAGAAGCTGGATCAGCCTCACTTGCTTTGTCTGATTCCAACTGTTTGTCGTCCTGAGGAGATAAATGGAGAGAAGGGGGAGAGTCTTTATCCAGTGTTATTGAGGAACAAGCAGGTGACTCTGCATCATCGTGAGGGTTAATGCTGTAAGATTTGAACACGTAGCCATCCTGGCCCTCAATTTTCAGGCAGGTCCCTTTCGCTTCTCTTTTTTTACTTTCTATGGAGCCATTAGGTTCACTGACCATATCCTCACTCATGTGAGACACCTCTTCCTCCCCATCCATGGCAGCAGCCCAAGGGTTTCTGTAGAATAGTCAGGTCTGCGTTGTCAAATGTGATCAGCTTTTTTAGGTGTAGTCATCAATTCTGCAACTCTCAAGCAGGTGTTGTGGTGAGTGTGTGGCTCTCTGGGACACAGGGTGCCTGCTTGTCCCTCCCCATTTATGACTGAAGTAGTCCCACCTCTCAGCACACAACCTAGAGAGACAGAGAGAATATATCAAAGTGTATTCTTTGGAAATAACAAGACTCAAAAACAAGGTGATACGA